ACCGCCAGTCACACTCACCAGCCGCTCCATCTCTTGCTCCCGGAGGCGCTCCTGGCGCTGCCAGCGATGGTATTCGAGCAGGTCTCCTTCCTGGTTGCTTAGCTCCGAGATGCTGTGCTTGCGCTCCCGTGGGGGTCCCGGCAGCGGGGTCTCTCCGGAGAACTTGCGGCGCCCGAGCGGGCTCTGGCGGGGCGAGGCCGAGGGCACGGCCAAGGAGCCCAGGCTGGCCGCCGGGCTCAAGCCAGTCCCAAAGCTGCCCGCCTTTGGCTGGGGGTGCTCTCCGCCGAGGAGCAGAGTGGGCGAAGGGCTGCGTCCCCGCAGGGCGAAAGAGGTGGCCGGGGGGGCCGGGGGGAGAGACGCCTCGAGGGCCTCTCGTCGCCAGGCCCCAGCAGCGCTCTCACTGGCTCTGGCTGGCAAGGAGGGGCTGCTGAGGGTGGCCGGGGAGGCCGCCCGGCGGGACAGGGCTGGGCTGATGGGGGGAAGGTCCCGCATGCTCTCCAGCGATCTCCGGCTGAGCCGGGGGCTCTCGGGGGCCGGCAAAGGCCGAGCCCAATGGCCGCTGTGCGTGCTCTCTGTGGCCTGGTGGGCCTTCCCCGGCGGGCCGTGGCGGGCTGAGCTGGGCGGCCTCTCCCGGCCCTCGAAGAAGGGGCTGGGGGGCCTTTCTTGCAGGGTGGGGGCCGCCTTGGTCCGTGAGGCAGAGGGCAGCTGGGACTTGGGGCCGAACGGCGGACTGTTGGGCAGCCGGGCCCGAGACGCCTCACTCGATCCAAGGGGCCGCAGGGAGCTCTGCTGGGCCGGGCGGGGGCTTTCCCCGGAAGGCCGAGCCCTGCGAGCCAGAGTCGGGCTTCGAAGGCCTTCAGGCATGGCTCTTGGTGCTGTCCGGGGGCTCCCAGGTCCTCGGGCTGGGCCTGAACTGCCGGGGCCACTCAAGAGATCCAGGCCAGGCGTGCCAGGCGAGGCCAGCATCGTATGGTTGAAACTGGAGGAGCGAACGGGGACCACCGGTGGGAGGGGAGGGCCCTGCTCGTGGCTACCTGGTGAGGGGCTCGTGCCGCTGCTGCTGCTGGCCGGCGAGGAGAGGGGCGAGAACGGCGGGGAGGTGTTCTCGTAGCTGGATCCCACAGACATGGCACCAGGACTCTGGGGTGGGGAGAGCAGGTGACGGTTGCTGCCCTTCCTGCCGCCGTTCACCACAGAGAGGTCTGGTGACTGAGCCGTGCCAGGGGGCGGCTTAGGGGGCCGGCCGTCCTCCTCCAGGACCAGGGAGTCCATGATGTCTTGCAAGTCCCGCTCAATGGAGCTGACCAAGATGCGGTGGTTCTGCCGGGAAGGCTGGGGCTCCTCCCGATTGCCATTCAGCAGGCTGGGGGGCTCTGCAGAAACGCGAGGCGAGGCGGATGAGGACAGGAGGCAGAGGTGGCAACCCCCCACCCCACCCTGCCCCATAGCCCTCCTTTCCCACCAGAAGGGTCCCTGTGCTAGGCAGGGGGGCTCTGCAGCAGCATTTCTTGCAAACCAGCTGAAAACCCTTCCTTGCCAAAGCAGGCCACCAAAGGCCCTGCTCTCTGGCTCTGCCCGAGATGCCCTGTCGTGGGTCGCAATTCGAAACCACCCAGAAAACTCCAGGTCTGGCCCAAAGGGACAACCCCAACCTCAACCCCCAATAAAAGGAGCTGCATCCCGCAAACCCCATCCTGCCATCTGCCAGCCCCACCACTAGGAAGAGAGCCAAGCGGCAGGGGTGCCTCCAGAGCAAAAGGGGGCCATTGCAAACACAGCAGGGGCCACAGCGGCCGCTCAGACCTCCTCCTCCCCCCCCCCAGGGTCCCTCAGCTGTTCCGCCTGTTCATCCCACTTGATCTTCCAGCCATTCCCATCGGTTCCTGCCTGCAGGCATGGATGTACACCCATGCACACACACCTGCTGCAAGCCCATATTGGGCTGAAGGACTTCGACCCCCGGCAGGAATCATGCTCTTCATCCACTTGGCCTCAGCCGGATGATTGAATCGAAGGAACGTCGACTGGCCAATGCAGATCATGCACCCTGAAAGGGGAGACAGAAGAAGGAGGGAGGGAGGGAGGGCTTCAGTAGGAGGTCTCAGGAGGCGGAGCAGGAAAGCAGCCTCACTGGGCCCCGGGTCTGCATCCAGGGCCCTGGGCTGCCCTCCTGGGGCCATGGAGATGCCTTGGGGGCAGTCGTGGCAGCTTTGGGGGCGGGGGTTCAGATGCTGGCGGGGAGATTTAGGTGGAACAACAGGGCCAGTGCCCTCTGTGTGTGTGTGTGTGAGAGAGAGCGAGACAACTTCTTGGCTCCTTGTCTAATGTTATCTTGCGTATGTGAGGGGGAGTATATTGGTTGTAAAATACTGCTCAGTTCTCAGACGCTGTAGCCTGCAGCACAAACTCCTCTTCTCTTCTCTAGG